CACCCCGGCCGCTTGGCTAGCTCATGCCCGAAATAACAACACACAAACTGTATTCATTTAAGAACTGCTTGGCCCATGAACTCTAGCCCTTACAGGCTAATTCTCGCACCTGGACTAGCCCATTTCTAATGATGTGTGTAAGCACCCCAAGGTGCACTTACCGGAAAGATTCTAGCCTCCGTCCATCCTGGGAGAGTGGAGCATGGTGTCCCTGCTCCAGCCCTCTGGAAGCAGAGCAGAGTCTGACCTCACTTCCTCTTCCTCCTGTTTACTCTCCCATCTATCCTTTTAACCTATCAGGGCCAGCAGTTTCTTTATTGCTTAACCAATGAAATCAACAGATTGATATGACACTCCCACATCACCAAGAATAGATACTACATTTGTCAAGTAATTTGGTGTAGCCTGATTAATACAAAACCCAGAGACAGATTGGGGTTCAACCTGAAGGTCAGAAAAGCAAAACAGCGCACCATTTGCTGTTACCTCAAATTTAATCTGAATTGGCGATCCTGCTTCCGGGAATCTCAGAATGAGACTGTGCCTGAGAACTGTCTCCTTTCATTTTATATTCCTCTCTAGTACTGCGATTAAAGGCCTTCACCACTACCACCTGGTTTCTATGGCAAACTAGTGTGGCTACTGGGATTAAAGGTGTGTGTTACCACTGTCTGGTCTGTAAGGCTGACCAGGGTGGCTGTTTTATGATCTTCAGGCATGTTTTATTTATTAAAATACAAGTAAAATATCACTACAATTTGAAGCATTATTAAGTTAAATGTTTACTTTATATCCCCAGAGATACATGAGTGCAGTCTTCAAACCTCATATGATAAAAATAAACTATTCTTGTAACCAGGAAAAAACAACTATAACAAACTTTCTTATTGGACTATCACCAGCCTGTGAATAATGACCCAGAGACCTACTATTAATTGTGAAAGCTTGGCCTTAGCTTAGTCTTGCACCCAGCTAGCTCATATCACTCAAATTAACCTGTTTCTATTAATCCACTTTCTGCCGCATGGCTCGATTACCTCTTTTTAGTAGGGCACACCTGACTTGCTCTGTGTCTGCTGGAGAAATAGCACACCTCGATTCCTGCTCTCAGTTCCCTTCTCTCTGTCTGAAAGTCCCACTTGTCCTTTCCTGCCTAGCTATTGGCCATTCGGCTTTTTATTACGCCAGTCACAGCAACATATCTTCCTATAGTGTACAGCTATTCCACAACAAACAACAGTGCCTTTAAAAATTCCTTGAAATGTCTTCCATATCTCTATTTAAGTTCCTAGATTTTAGTACCTGTGCTTAACTAAATTGAGTGGGTAAGCCTCTGTTTTTATCAAAACATATAAGGAAAGTTAATTTTAAAATGTTTTAGTAGCTTAAGCACCAAAACTACATTATGATATTTGGAAATGTTGTATCATAGTATAATAACATACCTGGTTATTGTGATAGATTCAAAAAGTGGTGCACACTCATCTGGCTTTCTTGTTTCTTAGGCTGTGTGGATGACACTATAGTAGTTCTGGCTGAAGAACATGGTTGTCTGGACATTATCAAGGTTCGTTGTGCATCTGTTTGGGCTATTCTAACAGACTATCTGACATTGGGTCATAAATAAAAAATAAGTAAAATAAATAAATATGAGATGAATAAAACATACCATCTCACAGTATTTTAGGCTGGAAATGTCAGGTAAAGGTTCCCACAGGTTCAGTTTTCTGATGAGGGAGGACACTCTCCTCACAGAGCAGAAAAGCAAGCTGGTGGAGGATGTTGTGGATGCGTGAATGTGTTTGATAAAATCCTATTCCCAAGATGAGAGCCCTTGTGCCCTAATCATCTTTTACAGGCCCACCTCTTTTATTGCTATTTGTTTGTTTTTATCTTTATAATTTCTTGAGAATTTCTTATAAGGTTTTGATCATATTCACCCCCAATTTCTTTCCTAACTCCTCTCAGACCAAGCCTTATCTCCCTACCCCTACAAATTCATGCCCCCCTTTTCATAACCCATCAACTCCATTTGTGGGGCCCATATATACCTAGGTGTGAGGCTGTCCACTAGAGTATGGTCTATCTACCAGGAGCCAAACCCTTACAAATAACTGGCTCTCCCCTCACTAGGAGCCATTAGCAGTCATTAGCTCCTCAACCTCTGGCCTTGAAAGTCTTTTCACCTGCTCTTCCACAATAGTCATTGAGCCTTGCAGAGGGGTTATGACATATGGCTTATTCTGCACTGTAACAGTGAATTTCTGCCCAAACCACCATTTGCTGCACAAAGAAACTTCTCCGATATCATCTGAGAACTGCACTAATCTATGAGTAGAGAGGTAAGAATTTAGAAGGCACTATGAAACTATTTAGCAGAATGAAAATAGCAGGTTCATTCACTCTGCAACTCATCCCTTTTTTCCCCCTTTTTTTTATTGAAAAAAGAAATTTCCGCCTCCTCCCAGCCTTCCATTTCCCTCCCCCTTCTTCCACTTCTCTCCCCCTCCCCCCATTCCTCTCCCCCGTCCCTCTCCAGTCCTAAGAGCAGTCAGGGTTCCCTGCCCTGTGGAAAGTCCAAGGTCCTTCTCCCTCCATCCAGGTCCAAACTGGCTAGGCTCCCACGAAGCCAGAACATGAAGTAGGATCAAAACCCAGTGCCATTGTCCTTGGCTTCTCATCAGCCTTTATTGTCTGCCATGCTCAGAGAGTCCGGTTTTATCCCATGCTTTTTCAGTCCCAGTCCAGCTGGCCTTGGTGAACTCCCAATAGATCAGCCCCACTGTCTCAGTGGGTGGGCACACCCCTCACGGTCCTGACTTCCTTGCTCATGTTCTCCCTCCTTTTGTTCCTCATTTGTACCTTGGAAGCTCATTCCGGTGCTCCAGTGTGGGTTTCTGTCTCTATCTCCATCCATCGCCAGATGAAGGTTCTATGGTGATATGCAAGATATTCATCAGTATGGCTATAGGATAGGGCCATTTCAGGTTCCCTATCCTCAGTTGCCCAAGGAACTAACTGGGGGCATGGCTCTGGGCAGAGACTTGAACCTAGAGGGGCTCCCAGGTGCAACTCATCTCTTAATACCATCTATGTGATACCAAGTTTCAAGACCTGATTTTAGGAAGGGACACAGTTATACCAGAGCAGTCTGTTTTCACATCAGGATACAATAACAAGCTATTAAAGTTATACTTATTTCTCTGCAGATGCTGTCTTTTTTTTTTAAATCAGAGAATGACAAATGATTATAAATTTAAATAAACTCCAAATAAAGACTTTTTTTTAAATCAAAGCTTAGGAGATTTAAATATTTCAGTAAAATGTATTTCTAGAATTGATCATTTATTTTTTTCTTTATTTGCTAGGAGCTTCCTGAAAATGTGACAAATATTTTGAAGAAGTGTCTCACCTTCCATCCTTCTAAAAGGTGATTCCTTAAGACTTTAGGCTTATCCTGAGAACCTTTTTGTGTGGAGTTGATTTGATTTGAATAGGAGAATGATGGACTAGGGGACCGTAGATGCATGTGTTGTATTTGGTAGGAGTCTGATGGACCAGGGGATCATAGCTGTATATACAGTAGTACATAAATGATACTAGTATTATAAATGTGATTCAAAGTTTTATTTTTTTGCTATAAAATAAGTCAAATCATGGTCATAAAACTGACATGTAAGAAAAAAGTTTCTAATTCATCTCCTTGCCTCAAGAAGAAAATCAACTAAACAGGAGTGTCAGTACTCTTAGATCTAATGACATTTGAATAATAACAAAAGCTTGTTGCCATTATGTATTATATACTGAGCTTGGAAGAATATTAAGCTTGTAGTTGCTGATAAAAATTGAGAAAGATTTCTTTGACATTTTGTTTTCATTTCATGGTGTCACTTTTAATTACCTAGCTATTGCTGAGCCTCCTAGATATAATGCTAGAAAAGAATGTATTCTAATTTGTCCTTAGAAAAGGCACTTTATCAAGCCATGGTAGGGGCAAAGGATAGTATTACAACAGAATTTGGGGTGTTTATGAAATGATTTTTGTTAAAAGATAAGGCACAAACAGTTTAAGACACATAAGTAATTCAGCACCGAGTTATTTAGTCGCAACAGCTAGACTCTGCCGAAGGGAGCGCCTTTGCTATTTTCTGTGCTAAGGACTTATCTAAGACTTTACCTCCCACTTTCAATGTCTATTACATTTTGTATGAAAGTTTTTATGACTTTTATCCATGCTGAGTATTTGCAATCGTTTTCTCAAGGCCAACCCCAGATGAATTAATGAAGGACCAGGTCTTCAGTGAAGTGTCACCTTTATACACTCCCTTTATCAAACCTGCCAGTCTATTTTCATCTTCTCTGCGATGCGCCAACTTAACTCTGCCTGAGAATATTGATGACTTGTGTAAAGGTAAAGAGGAATAAAACATGTGATAATATGAGCCTTGTTTCCAAAAGAAGCCCCTTAGCCTGTTTACTTTTGAATTCATTAGAAACAGGTATTACATTAGTAGGGTTTTGTGGTTAACAGTCAGAGAACTGAGAGGTAATTCTTTGTAGTTGGTTTTTTTTTTTTTTCTACTCTTTGTTCTTTGGGAGCATACCACCCAGCTCTCAAATAAATACATGGAGACTTATTCTTATTAATGAATGCTTGGGCTTGGCTTGGCTTGGCTTGGCTTGTTTCTAGCCAGCTTTTCTAATTTAAATTATCCCAACTACCTTTTGCCTCTGGGTTTTTGCCTTTCTTTATTCTATATTTCTTTCTTTCCTTTCTACTCCATGGCTGACTGTGTTGCTGGGTAGCTGGCCCCTGGCATCTTCCTCTCCTTTTTCTCCTTCCTCTTCTCTTTTTCTCTTCATATTTATTCTCTCTGCCTGGCAGTCCCACCTATCTTTTCTCATGCCTTGCTCTTGGCTGTTAAGCTCTTTTTTAGACCAATCAGGTGTTTCAGACAGGCAAAGTAACATAACTTTAAAGAGTTAAACAAACGCAACATAAAAGAATGCAACATATCTTTGCATCATTCAACAAATACTGCACAGCATAAACAAATGTAACATATCTTAAACTAATATTCCATAACATTTCCCCCTTTTGTCTAAATAAAAATGAAATGATTTAATTTTAAGATAATAAAACAATATACAACAAAAACAGTTTTTAAGTAAGAATTACATTTACAATATTCATTCTATTTGCATTTAGCAAATTCAGAGAAAACACTCCATTATCTAACTTATCTTAGTGATTCTAAAGTTTCATACCTTATTTTGCATCCCATAATAACTAAGGAGAACTATAACATTAAATATTTAGTCTTTTACACCATCAAAGACAGCAAAAGGATGTAATATTACCTAATAGCAGTTGTTCCTCTGCAACACTTCAGCCAAAAAGCCTAGAATATCTGGCATATTTTTTAGAGAAACAGGAAATTTGAAGGACTGTTCAACTTTGTATTAGCAAAGTTTAACAGTCTTTTTTTGTGTGTGTCCTTTTCAAATTGAAAGTAAATTCCATATAGAGTTTCTTTGATAATCATCTTTTTATGAAGTAAATTGGTGCTTTCAGGCACGTGTATCATGAAAAGTTTAGGTTAGTATACATCTTAAGTGCCATATTCTATAGGTCTTTAACGTGTTTGAAAATCATTTATCTGTCTAAAATATACTTGTTTCACTTGAAAACATACCTAATGTAACTACAAGTTTGATTATTATAGATTAAGTACCTACCTCATTTCTTAATTATCCATTGCATTTTTAAGTGAGCTGCATGAGCACAAAACCCCAAATAAGAGTAGAAACATATATACAGTATAGGAAAAATAACTCTAAATTTGTAGCAATATACCAAAATCCATGCCAATACAAAATATCTGAGATTAATAGTTGTCTTTTTATCTTATATTCCCCTAAATGGTAACAAACATCCATAAACCACCAAAAAACCAACAACCACTCATACCCCGACTCTTGGGAATATGGCCATCATTTTCTCTAGACTGCTTCCTTTTGTCTGTGGGCAGAGTCATCTTTAGGGATCCCTGAGAAAATTGAGATAAGGGACAAGTCCTGGGAAGACCAGCTGTAACTTTGTTGATATATGTCACATGTCCAGATTCAGAAGATCTTCCCCAACCAAACCTGATCTATATAAACCCTGAAGAACCCTTAACCTCTCATTTTCTATGGAAATAAATCGAAAACCTCTTCTCCAAAGCAATTAATGTTTTGATTTCTATTTTAAAGTGAAGGCATTCTTATATAGACTAATTTATTTTAGCAGTCCACTTAATCCCATGTCTCTCAGCAGCTGTCCTTTCCTTATCAGCAATCAAAAACTTCACAGCCATCACAGCAACATACAGGATCCAGACTCCCTGTGTATTCTCCATCTCTACATGGCTCATTCTTTTTTCATATTACTTTGCTTCTCCCTCTTTAAAGACTTTATTATTATTTTTAAACTATTCTTTATTTCCTATGACTGTCATTACCCCTTTTTCTTTTCCTAAGCATGTGCACATTGTTAAATACTCTAGAACCTGTTTAGAGTTTTTTTTTTCTGTCTAGATCTGTGTTTACTGCTTATCTCTAATCTTTTTGTCTGCATGAGCAAAGCAAAAACCAAAACAACCCCGCTAAATAGCGCCGCTACAGCTTTAGCAACTGTCTCCATCTGCTGCTCAGATCCTAAAAGCCAAGCCTACAGCTCACAGCCTGGTCGAAGCTGCATGGCTGGGAACTATGTTCTATCTCCCAGCTACGGCAAGCTGGTGGCCTGCACTGTGGCAGGCGCTCTTTTACTTAATTTTTTCTACTTAGCGTGAAAAAGACTGTTTAAGTGCTGTGCTGTATGGCAGAACTTGTTGAAGGAGCCGTGTCCTTTTGTTTGTTTGTTTGTGTTTTGTTTTTTGACCTTTCTCAGGCTCTAGGTGGATATTTGAAACTCACATTTGGTACACCAAAATGTTGTTGGTTGATTTTTACTCTTAATTCTTTGGGGACCCACCAAACATAGAGACTTATTCTTACTTATGAATGCTGGGCCTTAGCTTGGCTTGTTTCTAGCCAGCTTTTCTTAAATTATCCCATCTCCCTTTTGCCTCTGGGCTTTTACCTTTCTTTATTCTATATATCTTTCTTTCCTCCTTACTGACTGTGTTGCTGTGTGACTGGTCCCTGTGCTGTGCCCAGATTACGACCCCCCAGAGTGAGACCACCAGAGAGGCCCAGACTGTAATAAGCAAGGTTTATTCAGCACAATACAAACATGTTTAGAACCCCTGTCTACAGACCCCGTTATAGCAAGGTAGAGAGAGGAGTTGTATCGTTTTTGTGGGGTAGGCTTTTAAAGGCATTACTACAAAGAGGCTTTTTGAAGCTGCTTTTGCACGTGTGCAAGGACTTTTGCTCCCTCCCATTCTGCTAAGTCAGCTTTTTCCTCGTTCTTAGAGCAAGGCCACTGTTTCTGAGTTAGGCCATCTTTATCAGCCTGTACCAGGTGATACAGGCTGAGCTAAGTGACCTTGTGCTTAGAACCCCCCAGGTGGGAGAGGGGAAGGCCACTATCTTCCTGGGGAAAACATTCTGCTAGGAAATTTCTTCTCGCCTCTTTGAGAATAAGGGGTGAGGGTCCTACACCTGAAGTCTTCCTCCTCTTGTCCTTTTTCTCCCTCCTCTTTTCTTTCTTTCTTTCTGATATTTTCTCTGCCTGGCTACACTGCCTATTTTTCTTTTCTTTCCTGCCTAGCTATTGGCTATTCAGCTCTTTATTAGACCAATCAGGTGTTTTAGACAGGCAAAATAACACAGCTTTCCAGAGTTAAACAAAAAGAATGCAACATATGTTTGCATCGTTAAACAAATATTCTACAGCATAAACAAATGTAACACATCTTAAACTAATAATCCACAACAGATTCTTGAATATTTAAAATATAAGTCAATTGTAAATTACTGATATTCCATATAATTTATTTTAAGTAATCTTAAAACTATATTATCAGTAGGAAGTCCATGTTATCATATTTTAACTTGAAACATGAAAAGAAACACTTCGTTGATATATAGGTTTTCCTGCCCATACTTCTTTCTTGCTATAAAGTATAAAAATTCCTGTTCTGTACCTCTAACATGGAAAGTAAGCTTTCCAAATTTTTCCTTTTCTAGCTTCTCTTGATATAAGACGCAAGCTTGTAACTAAACTTGACTAATAGGATCACAGTGGATGTCTGGCATGTGAGTTTCTCCTAGGGGAAAATGCTTTCTCGACAAGAAAAGGACTACAGTAGCATTTCTCCTTCCGTTCTGACTATAGGAAGTGCATCTAGATTTTTGTCAAGTTCAGGCCTCTTGACTGTCTTCATGCATAAGTCACTTTTAGGAGGCAACCTGTTACAAAGAAGAATCAAAACCTGACAGTCATGACACACCTGCTGAGAATTAAAGCACCCAGCTCCAGCTTACCCTAGCCTTTCAGTTTCACTGTGGGGGATGATTGTGTGACCAGCACTGTCCAGACGCACAGCTCATTAAATTACGTGACCTGCTTGTAGGACTGCAGGATGCTTTCCTTCCTCCTTGCCACACCATGTCATAGCAGGTATTCCCTCGCTGAGATTAGTTAGGTGCTGACTAACTTCTGAGGACAAGCCGTGTAAGGAAGAAAGGTGTCCTCTTGCCATATTTAAAATCGGTTCTGTTTTCTCCTCCTGTTGCCATAGCACAGGCCAGTCTTCTCCAGTAATACTGTAGGAACTTGTCAGGCTTCAAGTGATAAAAACCCACAGAAGTGCCAGTGTCCCCTATGACTGCACCCCCTGGGATGTTAACTCTCAGACTTGTCCACACTCAACCTGCAGCAACTTATCAACTGTAGTCCAGCTTACTGTTCCAGTTCTGGTCCCTGAGACTTTTATGTTGTGTGGCTCCCTGCATAGCCCGTCTGCTTCTCCAGTCTTTCTCCATTACTTTCTCATGGGTCTTACAGGAACTCCTGATTTTCAGCCTCTTGTTATATTACTAGGTGGAGTAGCAACTTGCAAAGTCCTTACACACAGAAGTGATAGCCTTTTCAGTTACTTTTATTGGAATTCCAGCTCTTATTGCTATCAACTCTTACTACAGATGGAAACTAATGTTAATTTTGAACATGTTTACCATTAGTGGATACAGACAGTGATCACCTGGCAGAGAGATCTATAGAAGAGGTTTACTACCTGTGGTGTTTGGCTGGAGGTGACCTGGAGAAGGAGCTTACAAACAAGGAAATTATTCGATCCAAACCACCTATCTGCACACTCCCAAAGTAAGTAAAAACTGTTTCTGGTAATATGAGTTAATATTTTTGCTGTTTTTTAAATTTTACTTAATTTTATTTTTTAATAAATTTTTGGTAGCTATTCTAATTAAGTGAACTTGGAAACAAAACTACAACTTGTTGGATGGTCTAGAATTGTTAATTGCAGAATTTCTATCAATATTTATTATTTCTTATGAATATTGTTTTTAAGAAATAATTTGCTTTGTTATCTATTTGAAAATCATGTAATATTAATAAAAAGTATATATATGTCAGTTATTTTTCAAACACCACTGTCCATGTAGAAATATAAATAAATGTGTATTTCTTGACCTCTAAAATTTTAGTTTCGCAGTCTAGGACAGATTTGACTGTAGGTGTATTAGTTACTTTAGGGCTTAGAGGTCCAGAGGGAGAGTCACTAATGACTGGAAGTTATGGTCGCAGGAAACAGAGAGGCCACATTCTCATTTGCACATAAGAAACAGACAGAGGGAGAGAGGGAAAGAAAGGGGGGAGGGAGAGAGGAGGGAAAATATTAGCAAGTGGCACAAGGCCATAAAACCTCAAAGCCCCAGTGATGCACTTCCTCCAAGGCTGTACCTCCTAAAAGTGCCCTAACCTTCCCAAGCAGCTCCACTGAGGACCAAGTGTTCAAATACATGAGCTGATTAGGAACATTTCTTGTTCAAACCACCATAAGAGATTTATCTGATAATCACTATTTTTGTTAAACATTTCGATATTTATTTATTTATTTATTTTTTGGTTTTTCGAGACAGGGTTTCTCTGTGGTTTTGGAGCCTGTCCTGGAACTAGCTCTTGTAGACCAGGCTGGTCTCGAACTCACAGAGATCTGCCTGCCTTTGCCTCCCAAGTGCTGGGATTAAAGGCGTGCGCCACCACCGCCCGGCTAGATTATTTATTGAGATAGACATTAGTTTTCTGCCTTCCCTATTTTAAATTTTTCCTTTTTTTATTTTTGTATTGGTTTTCAAACCCAGGACCTTACATGTGTGGCAAGGCAAGTATCCTGTTACTAAACTGCATTATTAGCTCCTTCTGTCCTTTGTAAGTAGTTTTTTTAAACCTTAATGTCTATTGTGCCACTCACCCAATAAGTTAAATAAGAAATCCGCAATAAATTATAGAAAATTAAAAATTACTTGAATGATAGATTCTGAAAAGTAGACTTTTGTACTTCTAAACCAAGTTCCTGAGAGCCTGTCAACCAGTGTGCTTTTTCTTCCTCCCCTTTTAGTGTTCACCTGTGCAAACTTTCTCAAATGCACGTTTGAATACTGTTAGGACAGCCATTTCCTGCTGCACGTGCATGAAGAGAGACTGCAGCTCACACTCTGTTTCCTGCAGTGCTGTCTGCATGTTCTAGCTTATCTCTGCTCCTGTGACAAACACCCTGACCAAGAGCAGCCTAGGGAGGAAAGGCTCTCTAGCTTGCAGCCACAGTGCATCACTGCGGAGGTCAAGGCAGACACTCAGGGCAGAAACCTGAAGGTACACCATAACCTCTGAGCAGGAAACTTACCCAATAACTAAAAAGTACAGGGGAAAGCATGTAAGATCCTGCTTGCCTGCTGACTCAAAGTCCAGATTATATTCAGCTAGCTCTCTTGCACAGTTCAGGGCTACCTGCCTAGGGATGATTCCTCCCATACTGGGCTAGGCAATCCTGCATCCATTAACAACCCAGAAAGGCTGCCACAGACATACCTGCATGCCATCCTGATCTAGACAATTCTTTACCTGGAGCTTTGCTTTTAAATGACTCTAGACTGTATCAATGTGACAGTTAAAACTAGCCAGGATAGCAAAAAAAAAAAACAGACTTACAGCTAATCACAGACATATATATTTAAAAGTCTGCTTTGTTTGGAGAAACTTCAACTGGCGATTACAGTTTTGAAACCTTTGCTTTTTTTTTTTAAGTCAAGGTCTCATAAAGCCCATTCTAGAATTGAACTCACTGTGTACCTCTCTGACCCCAAATTCTTGATGCCTCAGCCTTCACCTTTCAAGCACTGGGGTCCAGGCATATGCACCATGTTGGGCTTTGTTTCCAAAATTAACTGTCTAGTCTGAATTTTACTTCTTAATGATGGGATTGTGATAGAAAAAATTTCTATAAGAAATAAAATAGACTTTCTGTGATCATTATAACAACTTTTGTCTTCCTTCCTTCTTTTCTTTCTTCCAATCTTAGTTTTCTCTTTGAAGATGGTGAAAGTTTTGGGCAAGGTCGAGACAGAAGCTCACTCTTAGACGATACCACCGTGACATTGTCCTTATGCCAGCTAAGAAACGTAAGTATAAAAATTACCAAATGTGCTTTTTATAATTGACAAAACATGGAAACCTTAAAGATAACACAAGACACTTTGCATTCATGCCTGATTTCCTGATACCCAAGAAGCTTCTGTAGTGAGTAGCGCTGTGAGAAAATGGCATCTGTGTGACTCCAGCCTTCACACGCGGTCTGACTGCTCACAACAGTGTTGATCTTTTCCTCAGCATTTGGTAATTTGTGATCGTAAATGTTAAGTAATTCTAGGTGCTCAGATTCTGATGTTTTAGAATGCATATGTTAATCGCAGTTGCCTGATTTCAGTGCAGCCATGAGTTTCAGCTATTTCCTCACCTGTTCTGTCCATTACAGCTTTGTCCATTTCATCAGTATTTCCGAACGAGTTCATGTAAGAGCTTTAAAAAACGTATTCCAGATACTGCGATACACTGCCTATAATTCATCCCAATATCTTTAAAGAATATATGAAAAAGCACCTCTTTTAAAATAACATTTAATAAATGAATACATAATAATCTTTTTAATAATCATTCTTATTTTAAAATATCTTATACATTTACATTTTAGATTATGTTAGTAATCTGGTGTTGCATGTGAGGAAAGGGTGGGAATGATGCCTACAGAGGGGAAAAGGAAGATCTTGCTTGTGTTTAACCCTTGCCAGAAGTGTGGTGTGTTTGCATGTCCATGGAAAAAAACAATTTTTGGATTCTACTTTTTGCTTCTTTGGACTGTTGTGAATTCATAATTTTTGCATTATTATTCTTTTAAGTAGTTATTACTCTTGCCACCCAATATAATGATTTATGAATGCTTTATTTTTAAATTCACAGAGATTAAAAGATGTTGGAGGAGAAGCTTTTTATCCATTACTTGAAGATGAGTGAGTATATGTTGCTTTACTTGACTTGTTCCCTGTTTCTATTAGATTAATTAATAAGAAGTTTGTAGATTTTAAATTGAACATATAGGAAGTAGTGCTCTAATTTATTAGAACATTGTCTTTGTCGGTATTTTTCCTTTTTTGTTCCTTTACAGCCAGTCGAACTTGCCTCATTCAAACAGCAATAATGAGTTATCTGCAGCTGCTACCCTGCCTTTAATCATCAGAGAGAGGGATACGGAATATCAACTAAACAGAATTATTCTCTTCGACAGGCTGCTGAAGGTAAGACTTGTAGCATGGCAAGTGATAATGATAGTCCATGAGTTAATCCTTACAGCTTGAAATTATGAGAAAAATTCCTATGATCTCTTTTCTAACTAAGTTTTCTAATTTATAGAATTGATACAAGTTCCAAAGGTGACAATGTGAAAGATCATCCTACATAAATAATTAACATAATTTTAAAATAAGGCACAAAAGTCTATAGGAAAAAGAATATATTTTTGATAGAGAGAAATAGACTACAAAATATAAATACAATTAGGCAACAAAATACTAAACTCACCTTTACAAGAAATGATAATACAATTACAATGGGATATTCTTTTACATCATTTACAAGGCCAGCATGGGCTTGGAAAACTAGGCTTCTCCTTTTAAAGGAGATTGGAAACATTTCACAAAGCAGTTTTAAGGTGTTTGTTGAGTACTCTGTGTGCTCTAATAATTACCTTCTTGAAATCCCTTCAAAATACAGATTTATAGGAGGACAAATGTGCTAGATATACAAGAAGTCACAGTAGCTTATGCTCAGTGCATACCTTCTATACCACAAGGAATGTACAAGGTTCTTGTGCCCATTATCTTCTTAACACTAGAACCCTCATTTTTAGTCACTTAACAATCTTCCCAGAGCACAAAACAGACAGCAAGGGAGCTGGCCCCCCTCCCTCACAAGTAGGTAGCCCCTGAATTCAGGAGAGAGTGAACCGACCCTGAGGGCATGGACTGACCAGCTCAGCTACCACCCAGGCCCTTTTGTGACTATTTTTATCTTTTCATAGGCTTATCCTTATAAAAAAAATCAAATCTGGAAAGAAGCAAGGATTGACATCCCTCCACTTATGAGGGGTTTAACATGGGCTGCTCTTCTGGGAGTAGAGGTAAGAAAGCAAAAGTTTATAAACTGATGAGTAGAATATAAAAAGAATAAGAAGGTAAAAGAATGCTGCTGGTGTAGGGACTCATATTTCCTTCCAAGTGCTTGGGGTGCCGTGACAGCAGATTGCGAGTTCAAGACCAGCATGGGATCCATGTAGAAACCCTGTCTCCAAAAACTGTACTTCCCATCGAATTTACACTATTAATAGGAAAGTATGTATTGAAATATGGACATCAGAATATTTGACAATTTTAAGTAGAAAAATACATGAAGAGAATAGAATATAAAATACAACTATTGATGTGCCCTAATATTTTATCAATTCCCATGATAAATATCATTATTATTTTGAGCAGATTATCTAATGAGTATGTGTCAGTTAGAAGTTTGCCAAAGTTTGCCATCCTGCTTATGAAGTATGCCCCTTTTTCAATATAACTGCAACTTACAAGGTGTTCCAAGTTGATAATTCTTTTATGCCAATTGTTATTAATGATAATAACAAAACAAGGGTTCAAAAAAACATAGAGTCCATTGTGTTTGTCTACTGCTCCTGGGTGTGGGGCCTCAACTATTTTTAATCTTTATAGACTTCTATTGGCAGAATTTCTTTTTCTTTATTCTTGCTTTTCTTAATGGGCATTTAATTTCTTTGAATTTGTTTGGTTAGTTCATAAGACTGCCTATTGTTCCTTACCTCATATTAATGATTAGTACTGTACTCCAGAAAGACTTATGATGTCAGGTTTTCCAAACCTGTTATTAGTAGATATCCCAAAGAAATTGATCCTGCAACTAATTTTACTAAATTCTTGGCTTTCCCTACCACTATAGTAAGTCATAAAAATAAAAACTTTTTCATGTGTGATCCTATAGAACAAGAATAAAATTTATTGTATTTAGATAATCTTTGTGTAATGCTGTAACTAAGAAATGTTAATAAGGCTAATGTTTCTATAATTACAGGGTATCCATCCTATCCCAAACGTTCCTAGTACTATCATTCTTCTGAAAAAATATATTATTTGCCTTTCCGGTGTTAACAGAAAGATTCTGTTAAGATAAACTTCTCTCTAAAATAATGTCTTTATGAAAATATTGATTTATGAGTTAGTAATGCACAGAAAACAACATTTTGGTATGCTCTTTAGCTATGTGACTTGTGTCATTTACCTTTTGATGTATATAATTCAAAGGGGCTCTTCTGCTTGTACTTCTTATTTCTTTTTGAAGTAAAGTTTCACTCTGTTGCCATGGTGTCTACCTGCTTCTACCTCTTGAGTGTTGGGATTAAAGGTGTGCAGCAGCACACCAGGTAAAGGTCTACCTCACCGAAATGGCGAATGTCACTTACAATAGACCTCCATCATACATGGTCAAGGATGTGAAGAATTTTTTTGTTGTTGCTTTTTTAGTTGTTGTTTTGTTTTGTTTTTTGAGATGGGGTTTCTCTGTACCTTTGTAGCCTGTCCTGGAACTTATTCCGTAGACCAGGCTGGCCTCAAACTCACAAAGATCCACCTGTCTCTCCCTCCTGAGTGCTGGGATTAAAGACGTGCACCCCCACTGCCCAGCTAATATTTACTATAATTGGGTAGGTCTTCAAAAATAGGTATTTATATGAAACAGGTTTCTCCTACTAAGCACCACTAATCCAAAATTTAAAAGCTTTGAATATTGACATCTTGCTGAATAACTAATAGATTTTGCATCTTTTATATTAGAGATACTGTACCAGTAAGTTTTATGCAAATATTCCAAAAGTAGAAAAATTATAAAGTTGAAATACTTAAGATCTCAGCCTATTAATGTGCAATGTCATTTTATTAAGGATATAATAAATTAATGTCTTATTTTTTGCAGGGAGCTATTCATGCCAAGTATGAAGCAATTGACAAAGACACTCCAATTCCCACAGATAGACAAGTAAGGTTTTCCTAAGGCAATTCTGCTAATTCTTTAAATGTGAAAGGAGTGAAGAAAATCCTTTTCCTTTCTTTATTATTGCTCTGTCACTGCCCGAGTTAATATGTTCAGAAACTAAAGTGTGATATTTCCGAAGATTTTTTGAAAAACTCGAAAACTTTTATCAACAGATTATAAAGGTGAAATAGTCTGTAAAGTATCTCTTCTCTCATTTATTGAAGAAAGTAGGGCTTCCGTAGGATCATCCATTACAGTATATCTCACTGCTTTGCTGGTTGCAGATTGAAGTGGATATTCCTCGCTGTCATCAGTATGATGAACTGTTATCATCCCCAGAAGGTCATGCAAAGTTCCGGCGTGTACTGAAAGCTTGGGTAGTTTCTCATCCTGATCTTGTGTACTGGCAAGGTTAGTTACTAGGACATTTCTTCAAGTCTTTTTCATTTTGAGGGGGAATAAAACACTAAAATTCCAGTGCATTTTGAAGATGTTAACTCTACATAAATTATCAAACAAACTTGTTCTAAATGCTTTAAAGAATATATTTTACATGATATTTAAGAATAGGCAGCTTGAGGTGGCATTGGGAAAGCAGAGTCTAATCTTGTGGAAACAATTTTAATCTTATCAAAGTAGTGAAATAACTTTTACCATAAAAGCCATCAGGCTATTTGAGAATGTTACTATTTGAGCATTCCTAATATATAGTTACTATAATTATTAGGAAAAGACTATCACCTTAAAATTGCTCATTTTACTTGTTTCCTTTTTCTCCCTAGTATCTGTAATGTCTCCAATCCTGGACTTTTAGCATTTGCCATTGTTATCTTTATGATCACTAGTTTATGAATGAGGAACCTGTTCAATCCAACCCTATTTTTGAGTGTTTTGTTGTAAGCAGTGGTTTTTGATTTCGAGTTTCATATTGATTACTTACTACTCCTAAAGGTTTGATTATTTGCTGCCCAGCACATTTCAGAGACGTTCTATATCCTCTGAACCCATTGTAGATATATTTTGTATGCTCATTCAGAATGATAATAAGTGAATAGCATTATTATTAATAAAAGAAATCTGTATTTGTATATATTTTCACTAATTGTAAAGATTTTTCATAACATGAAGAAAAAGCGCTTATGGCAAAGATCCATCTCTTAAATGAGAAAGCATAGCTGAAGGGGCCAAATAATTATCAAGTTCACATACAGTTTGAGTCAGAATTGTGGCGTAAAGTCCTCTAACATATTCATGTGTCACTATTGCTTTGTGCTCTTTTCCTCATAATCATATGTATGATTAATAATAACTGACTTATTTTGGATACTGATGATATGGAAGATGCAGAACAGGCATCTGAGATATACTTAAAATGCTTAACATTTGGAAGGAATGCAAGAGTAAATGGAATGTATTCATTTTACTTTTTGCCTCAATTCATCTACATCAGGTCTTGACTCACTGTGTGCTCCATTCCTGTATCTAAATTTCAACAATGAAGGTAAGCTTTTTTTATCATTGAGAGATCATTATGCATATTATTCTTAAATATAGGGCTCAAAAATAGAAGTTCTTGTCTTAAAATTTTTATATTTTACCTTATATGTATCATAAAATACAGTGAAATAAAATTAATTTTTCTTAGAGAGTAAATGTAATTAGTATTGAAGGGTATTCCTTGTCACCAGTTTATGTCTAAAAGTTTGGTGGAAATTAGGCTAATTCTTCTAAATTAATTTACCTGCTTTGATAACTTTTATAATTTGATAATTTTTATAGATTTTGGGAGAAGATTCTGACTTCTCTAGAAATTGCTGTTAAGTATGTTTTCCAAATAATTCATAAACCAATCAATATCATCAAGGTCTCTCCCTTATCAGGTATCCTGTCCATGTTATATCAATTGTACTTCTTTGATAAAGACCTCTTAGTTCTTTTTCTGCACTACATCAACACTTTATGGACCAGGTGATTGCTCCTGTGTCTGTTTTGTTCTCAGAGACTGGTACCCTTACTAGTGCTGCCGGTCCTTGTTCTCAAAACTCAGACCCTCATGCTAGTGGTACCAGCTTTGTTCTCATGGACTAGCCGTGTGCTAGTTCTGCCAAACTTTGTTTGACCGTCTGTTAATTAATGGCAAGATTGTTTCTGTCCCTCCATTTTAGGACCTTTTATAATGGATTTTTAAAATAGTATTTGGTAGATTCAATAGAATCAAATTTTGAATTCTGAATTATATCACACTTGGAGTATTCTATCCTATATTACTTTAATATATAGGTATCTCACCTTAAACTACCCATTTTTCATATGTTATCATAAGAAACAGAAGCTTCCGGAATTGAGTAGAGATGGCATAATCTCCAAAAACTTCTATTTCTCTCTCTGAATGATTTTATAGTGCACTGTTCTGATATCTTCACTCATTAGTCTGCACTTGAGCTTTTGCTGTGTTTACTTTGGTATATCCAATTATGGGACACCGGTCCAAGAATAATAAAATATCTGTATTTGAAAGTACAGGTTATGACTAGTGTTCCTAACTCCGGAAATCTTGCCTGGATCAGTAGTAATTAAGGATTGTGAGGCTTAATTGTGAGTACCTCGTTAGTAATTTGTGTTTAGAAATTAAAATAAATAAAGTTCAGGCACAATGATTGCCACAGTAGTTTGAAATTGAAGTTACTGGAATGTTTATCTTTTATTGTCTCAATTTTTTAAATAGCAGAAGCTTTTCTTCCTATACTTTTCTGTTTCTAGCACTTATTACCATATTTATTGTTTAATAGTAGACTCAAAAATATTGTGCTGAGTGAATAACAGCTGGTCATTACCCTATTAACTGATTTTGTATTTGCTTTATTCTTTCTTAGCCTTAGCTTATGCATGCATGTCTGCTTTTATTCCCAAATACCTGTATAACTTCTTCTTGAAAGACAACTCACATGTAATTCAAGGTAAGCAAATGACTTTTTCTGTCTTTATATAGGACAAATTTCTATCAAAAATAACCAATCTTGTCTTCATATGGTACTGTTTTTTCTTAGCAAAAATAACTTATCTTCAGGATAATAGTCTTGACCCAGTAGCATATGCTGATGGCTCATCACCAAGACCCAGGAAGAAGTATAAAGAATTTATTCCTACAAATTCACAAGGAATTATAGTCCTTTTCTGTGACAGTCTTAATGACTAATATCTGCTCTCAGTTCAGATGCAGACGTATTAGTTTAATAATGTGAAGTTTACTCTTTGTCTTTGCCAACTAAAATGAAAACAAACTATTTTGGAGGAGTGTTTAATAGCTTACAGTATAGGCATATGGTAGCAATGAATGTTGGCACAGCAGTAAGCATGTTTGAATTGTTTTATAAGATTGTGGTGTATTCACACCGTAAAGATACAGCTGCTAAAGGTCAGAATGGAAAAGATACATACCATCTAAGTTTAGGGTATAAAATTTCTCCAACTTTCTGTTTAGATGTGTATTTTTCTAAGTCCTTTAAGGGAAGGGACAGCCTCTTTTTCACAGCGATGTTCTGTCATTTATAGCAGTCCCATGTTGTTTAGGTTAGAATATGGGTAAAAGGATGAGCAAATCCAGGTATTTTTGAAAACTAAATATGGCAGTAACTACGCCAAATGCTATGTGCCAAACCATGCAAACTAGGATGCATGATCCCACCACACAGACTTCAGCAAGGCATTGGCATAGAGAGAGGGAAGGAGAAAAACTGCAGCTGCCAAATGTGATGTGTGCAAATAAGTCTCCTTTCTCCACACACACTAGGTGTGCGGGGTAGGGCCAAAGTCGCTTTCACTGTCGTGATTTAGAGAAGGCAGTTTAATGGCCGTTCATGATATTTTGCTTTAATGGTAGGCTATATAGAGAAAGCAAGGATAAGTATTGAGTCTGGCGAGAATTTCTTGTATCATATGACTAATCTTTTTTTTTTCCAGTGTAGAAATTGTTCTAAATAGAAAGGTTACTAGATAATTCTGCTTGCTATTTTAAAAAAAGATTGTTTGCATATATAACCCTAAATAAAGATTACTTTTCTTGGGCTGAGGAGATAATTTAATGGTACAGTGCTTGCTTAGCATGTGTGAGGCCCTGGTTCAATCCCCGACACCACCACATTTTTAAAACAAATCATTTTTCTCTTTCTATTTTTTGAGCCCTCTCTTCCCATGTAGTTATAAAAATTTGTGCTGCTTCTTTGGCTTCTAGTAAGTAGTTCAAGCCTTTATTGCCACATTGTTAGTGGAAATAACTTCATTGCTTCCTGAATGCTGGCATCTGTATACCTTGTATGTGTTTTGTTTGGTTGGTTTGGGTTTTGTCTCTGTAAACTGGCTAGTCTGAAACTTGGTGTTTGGCTCAAGCAGGCTTCGTTCCTCCTGCCTCAGGCATGATGGAATTGGAAGCATACATGACCACTGGCAGCATGTTCTGCCTGCTGATGCTGCCATCATCTTTAGGACGAACTAACAATATTATGATAATGGATGGCAAATTAAGAGTCCGTTCTGAATGGTGAGCAGACACAATCACTTGCCTTAAATCTGTCATCCATGTCCTTCATCTCTGCTTTCCCCAGCTAGGAGAGTCAATGCTGAGAAGCTGGTCAGAGAGGAAACCAATGTGGATACTTAAGTGGAGAGATTTGGAAAGTTACTCTCTCATATACACCATTCAATGTTTTAAGTAAACAAAATGGCTTATTTATAAACAGCCAAAAACTATGATATTATCAGGTGAAATTTTAACATCAGTTTCATTTGGGGTTGTAATTGCAGAGTGTATAGTAAGTAAAAGAGAACAATGAATTTTAGTAAACAGAAATTAGAAGGCACAATTCATTATCATTTCAAAAACTGAAACTACAAGATTTCTTTAAAACATAGGAAGTTTATATGTGGTTTTATGGTGTAGTTTAGAAACTACCCTTGAGATTTTAGGGATGATTGTAAAATATCTTCATTTTAAAAACTGAGTAATATTCACCTTTAGAAAATACTATCTTTGATACTGTTTTAAGAATCATGATTCATATTTTTATCATTTTTGCAACTCATAATTATAGTATTTTATCATTTTAATATTCCTTTAAAATGGTTAGTCAGGGTGAAAGATGGCTCAATAGTTAAGAGCACTGTTCTTCCAGAAGACCTGGGTTCAACTCGCAGCACCCACATGACAGCTCACATGTCTAAGTCCAGCTCCAGATGAATCAGTGCCCTCTTCTTGCCTCCTTGAACACAAGGCGTGAGCGTGTTATACAGACATGCATGTAGACAAAATACCCATACACATTAATATATATATTAAAAAACTATCAGTAGTGTTAAATGTGTAGAATATTCTGTTTTAATCTAACCGCTGTTATAATTTGTTGTAACTACCTTTAGTTTCCTTCTCAAATCAAATCTAAAGATATGTACAAAAAATTGTGTTTTTTGTTACTTTATGGAACTTTAAATTCTATTATGGGAGAACTTGTAATATGGGTTTACGTATATTTTTATACATAATAATATATAATATGTTTATACATATATTCTCTCATATTCTCCCTGAAATAAAGAGCTCACACTGAGCTTCATTTGAAAGCTTGTTCTCCACATCCCAAACTTTGCCAGCTTTATAGATTATATTGATCAATGTGACACAAATGGTGTACTTGTATCTATCTGTGTATTTGAGTATGTGAATGCTAGTATAAATCCAGTTACTGGTGTTTGGCAGAACACAAGGAAAATTTGGGTGAGGTTTCTTCAGTAAATCCTTAATTAGCTGTATAAATCCGATAGTAATTAAGTTTATCAGACTTGAGTAGGAATGATGTTTAATAAACCCAAGCATAGCTGTGGAGAATTGCCTGAGGCATGAATTTCTGCTTTAAATTGGAACATGCTTTTTGAAAGTTGAAAGTTAATAACTATAGTTTATCAATATACAATTGAGTACTTATGGTGGCTGATGTTGCATCCATATTGTTCTGAGACAGGAAAAAAAGTGGGGTAGTGGATAAATTAGAATCTATTGCATAAGAATGAAGAGAAACTCAAGAAATGTGTTAATTGCTGGGTGGTGGTGGCACACGCCTTTAATCCCAGCACTTGGGAGGCAGAGGCAGGCGGATCTCTGTGAGTTCGAGGCCAGCCTGGTCTACAAGAGCTAGTTCCAGGACAGGCTCCAAAACTACAGAGAAACCCTGTCTCAAAAATAAAAAAAAAAGAAATGTGTTAATTGAGCATCCAGTTCTGTATCAAGAAAGCGTAGACAACATTTACATTAGGTCAGCGATAGGATTCAGTTATATCATTGAATAGAGTACAACACTGGCATTTCCTTTGCATGACTTGATGATGCCTATTAAAAGCATGCATGGTATTTATAAGCAAGAATTTGGAACAGTTTTAGTTGAGAAAAAATAAGTTACTTTTACTTATTACTGTTTCTTGAAGCAAGTGCTTGTATAAACTGATAAAGCGGGGTAACATTATTTTTATAGATTATTTCATCAAATAATTCAGTTTTAAAAATCAATTATGTTATTGAAGAAAATTGAGATTTTTTTCATTTTTATTAAGTTATTTTGATTTCAATTTCAAAAATGAAGTTGAGCTCATTTGTCTTGTGTGTTTTCTTTCTTTCCCTTGCAGTGCAGGATGTCTTAGATTTCACAGTCTTCTCCCTCTACTCCCAAGGTTTTGCGATTGCAGGCTTTAATTTTTTTTTAATAAGCAAAAGAAAGTTACTGATTTGGAGCACATGCTACCACAATCTTATTTAGGTCCATCAGAATGTCATTAATAACTTGGTAAAATTAGTAACCTGTTAAATCAGTGGGGAAAGTATGAATGTATTCTTACATGTCTGAACCAGATAACTTGTGTGAATAAGATTAAAATAAAGTGTGCATGTGTGTATGTGTGTGTGTGTGTGGTGTGTGCACATGTACATGTACACATATCCATGCATGTGGATACTGGAAGGTGAAGTTGAATGTCTTTCTAAATCACTCTCCAATTATCTTTTGAGACAATATATCTCACTGAACCTCCTTTTTTTTCCCACCAAGACTCTCCCTGGCACAACAAAAAAAATATTTTTAATTGCCTACTTTATTGGGAGCAGTGAGACCCCAGATCCTGAATTTCTTGTAAACAACTTGTTTTCCCCTGATCTGAGTGCCTACAGCTGCCCTGAGCACGAGACCTTCAGGAGTTCCTGATGGCAGGAGAGTGGTTTCTGGTGGGTTTAGCTGGGGCGTGGCTATCTCTATATAATCTGCCCCTGAACATAATAAAGGGGGCATTCTTGGGGCTTTGCTATCGGTGTTAAAAGGTCTGTCTTGGTCTCTGCGTCAGTCTGTATTCACAACCTCCAGCCCCTTGCCCGAAGCTCGCGAACTGGGTTCTAGCGCACAGAGCGCAGACACGGGGGCGCGGTGAGTGGCAGCCTACTGTTTACCTACTTTCCATTAGTTATAGTTAATGAAGTTGATGTTTCTACATATGCTAAACATAGACTCATAGGTAGGAAGAACCTTACAAGTAGAAAAGATGCTGAAATTTGATATAGAAATCAATCTGGGGGCACAGTCACTCTCCTGTGCCTGCTTGTCTTTCACTGTTCCTTAGTTGTGGGTCTTTCCCACCTTTAGGACTTTCAGTCAAAGAGAAACAGATTTGCTGTCGCCAGATAAAATGTATTTGTATTGTTTAGTTGGAAAGCGTCAATCATCCTGTGTTTAATTTGTGACTCGAGAAATAACAGAAAGCTCTGAAAGTAAACTGTGGCATAGTTTGTGTTTGTTTGATATTTACCATTGCAATTGAAGTAGCAACAGAATGGAAACTATTTGTTAAAGTACCCTTGCTTTGTAGAGCAGTTAGCTTCTCAGTCAGCAAGAGCTATGCCTCGCTCACTTTAGTTTTTGAGGTAGTTGGTGAAGATGGCGCTGGTCTTCAGCATTGTTGTCTTTTCAGAGTACCTGACCGTGTTCTCTCAGATGATTGCGTTCCACGATCCAGAGCTGAGTAATCATCTTAACGAGATTGGCTTCATTCCTGATGTAAGTACACCTGGTGCGTTAGGAAAGCAGGGGGTGAGAAGTTATAAAGTCCAGCAGAAAGGACGGAATACAAGATGGCATTCTTAAATTGTTGTAAATGTTGTCTGCACAAATTCCTGAAGCTGACTACAGCTTTTGTGTTTGTGCAGTTACTTTCCGTGTCCTCATGTAAAAGAAAATAGAGTTTCATTTTCCTTGGCATACTTATTATTAACAATGTGTTGTTTAAAACCCATTGAAGGGGCTGGAGAGATGGCTCAGTGGTGAAGAGCATTGCTTGCTCCTCTAAAGGTCCTGAGTTCAATTCCTGGCAGCCACATGATGGCTCCCACCATCTATAATGAAAGCTGCTACCCTCTTCTGGCCTGCAGGCAGAATACTGCACACAGAATAAATAAAAATCTTTAAAAAATAAAACATTGACGAGTGGATTAAAAATAGTGTTTTTATGAATTTATCACAAATTTCATGCAATGTATTTTAGTCATATTAACCCTCTCTCCCATCTATCAAATATATCTCTCCCTCCCTCCCTCCTTCCCTCCTTCCCTCCTTCCCTCCTCCCTTCC